ACTTGAACAAGTGTACAACAGGTGTTCCCTAACAGAACTTAGAATTCACCAAGATGAGGGGAGCTCGGCGTGAGGCCCTAGTTGTGTCTGCTGCCAACCAGTACCTCTGCATCCCGCGTGCTAGAGTGCTCCACTTATGTTTTCTGGTGCAGAATCTGGCTGAAATTGAGGCATGTTGTTGTTAAAAGACCAAGATTAGGTGATCAAAAATGTTTTGGCTTTAATTATATGTATATGTATATACGTATGTATGTGTGTATGTATGTATACACACACACATACACACACATATTACTGTGTGTCTCTGAGGGTATGTGTATGTGAGTGTAGGTGCCTGTGGAGCCCAGAGGCATCTGATTTTTTGGTGCTGTAGTTCTAGGCAGGTGAGCCTTCTGATCTGGGTGCTGGTGATTAAATACCTGCGCTTTGCCTGAGTGATAGGCATCCTAACATGTGAGCCATCTCTCCGCTGCCTATGTGTTTTGGTTTTGATTTTTGTTTTTTAATCTGGAACTATCTTACATAGTCCAGGGTGGACCTGAACTCATAATATCCCTGGTTCAGTTTCATCCTGAGGACTGAGAACACAAGCCCGTGCTACTCCCATCCCTTTTTAGTGTCTTTTGGAGTTGGACTCAGGCCCTTGTGCACGCTTGGCCAAGATCGTGCCAGCGAACTACATCCTGGTGCTTTTTAAATGTATTCGATTTTGTTGTTGTTGATGTTGCTTGTTTTCTGGGACAGGGTTTCTCTGTGCAGCCCTGGCTGTTCTGTAACTCGCTCTATAGACCAGGCTGGCTTTGAACTCAGGTATCTGCCTGCCTCTGCTTCTGAGTGCTAAAATTAAAGGCATGCGCCACCACCACCCAGTGTACTTGATCTTTAACTTTTCATTATTTGTGTCTCACACGCACAGGCACACACATGCCAAGGTCCATGTCTGGAGGTCAGGAGATGATTTTCAGAAGTCAGCTCTCCATGGGCTCTGGGACTTGAACTCAGAACCTTGGGCTTGCTCAGCAAGCACTCTGACCTGCAGAATCACCTTGCCAGCCTTTATCTTTTATTTTTGAGATAGATTTCACTAAGTTGGCAAGACCTTGAACTCTGTCACCCTACAGGCTTTGAACTTTTGACCTTCCTGTGAGGAGGAATTAAAGGCCTGCATCACTAGGCATGGCTTCCTTTTATTTTTATTTATTTGTTAACGGAAAGAATAAGGCATTACAGACCATCTTGTACAAAAGCGAGCATAGAGGCTGCGAAATTTTTCTTGAATTTTTGTTTCTGTTTTAATTCCCCTTTCAAATGTATATTTTCTGTAAATATTTCAACAAGGAGAAAGTGCCAAGGATCCTAAAAAACTAATCTGAAATGAAAAGTCTCTTCTTGGTTTAATATAGCCCAGCAGATGGACACCTACTGCATTGGGAGTCTCTGCCCCTCTCTTCCATTTTTATGAATGGCAGAAGGAAGAAACTCATCCACACACTTAGAATTCTCCGGTCTTTGCTATGTGCAATAAAATTTCATCACAGAATTTTAGTACTCCCAGCACATCTACTTACGTGTAAGAATGGATCTCAGGATTTGGGGCTGTTCCTTCTGGACATCACATTACACTTTCTAACTGAAGCTCTGTGTGTGTGCGCGCGCGTGTGCGCGTGCATATGTGTGTGTGTGTGAGAGAGAGAGAGAGAGAGAGAGAGAGAGAGAGAAAGAGAAAGAGAGAGAGAGAAAGAAAGAGAGAGAGAGAGAGAGAGAGAGAGAGAGAGAGAGAGAGAGTCTATAAAGTGTAAAGAAAGCAGGACCTGATGGAGAAGCTCTGTAATCACAGATACTTGACCGGGTGTTGAGGTAGAAGAATCCTAATTCAAGCTCAGTATTGACAATTCAGTGAGACCTTATCTCGAAGTAAAAGGCAGAAAAAGACTGAGGTCAAGTCCTTGCCCAGCATGTCCAAGGCCCTAAGTTCAGTACCGAGGATCCCTTGCCCTATAAACAAAAACTGGGAGATCATTGCTTGTGAGGCCAAGGCAGGAATAGTAAGAGTGTAAGGTCAGGGGCTGTAGAGATGGCTCAGAAGTTAAAAGCACTGGCTGTTCTTCCAGAGGTCCTGAGTTCAAGTCCTAGCAACCACATGGTGGCTCACAACCATCTATAATGACATCTGGTGCCCCCAGAACTTAAAAAAAAAAAGGTTTGTTTGATGTGTATGAATATTTGACCTGCACGTATATAAGTGATTTTAAGTGTACTTCATGCGTATCTGGTGCCCTCAGAGGTCAGAAAGGGGCATCCGACACGTGAAACTAGGGATGGTTGCAAGCCACCCAGTAACCAAATCTCAGCTGCAAGAGCAGCAAATGCCCTTAACCACTGAGCCATCTCTTTTTTTCAATTTATTTATTATATACAACAGTCTGCCTCCATGTATGCCTGCAGACCAGAAGAGGGCACCAGATCTCATTACAGATGGCTGTAAGCCACCATGTGGTTGCTGGGAATTGAACTCAGGACCTTTGGAAGAGCAGCCAGTGCTCTTAACCACTGAGTCATCTCTCCAGCCCAGGAGAACCTTTCTAAATGATGCTTGCAGGCCAGTGAAATGGTTCAGAACCTAAAGGTGCTCCCTGCCAAGGCTAACAATCTGAATTCCATCCTGGTAGGAGAGAACTGATTCCCACAAGTTGCCCTCTTACTGTACATGTGAACCATGGCACATGCCCCATACACACACACACACACACACACACACACAGATTGGCTATGCTGGTATACATACACCTTTGCTTCCAAGTGGGTCTGTTTATAGAGAGAGTTTCAGGCCAGTCAGGACTACAAAGTGAGACCCTGTCTCAAACAAAACAAAACAAAAAACCCTGAAAGCCTAGGAGGCTGGTGAGACAGCTCAGCAATTAGAGCACTAGCTGCTCTTCTAGAGGACCTGGGCTTGATTCCCACACCCACATGGTGCAGTAGCTCCAGTGCCAGGAGACCCAATGCCTCTTCTGGCCTCTAGAGGTGCTAGGCACGCGCATCATGTGCAGACATACATTTAAAAATGAAATAAATGAAAATTGAAAAGTATGCTCCTCTTGGTCTGCATTCTACTTTAACTGTGGTTTCTCCCATACTATATAATGGCTCGTATACTATATGATAATAAAAAACCAGAGAGTTTCAAATTAGAGTTTGATTCCTGCCTTTTTTTTTTTTTTTTTTTTTTTTTTACACGGGGTTCACCATGTATCCCCGGCTGGCCTGAAACCCAGAGAGCTCTCTGCCTCTGCCTCAAGATGGATTTTTAATATTTATAAATCATGTGTAGCCGGGCGGTGGTGGCGCACGCCTTTAATCCCAGCACTCGGGAGGCAGAGGCAGGCGGATCTCTGTGAGTTCAAGACCAGCGTGGTCTACAGAGCTAGTTCCAGGACAGGCTCCAAAGCCACAGAGAAACCCTGTCTCGAAAAACAAAAAACAAAAACAAACAAACAAAAAAACAAAAAAACAGACTAGAAGGCATTGGATCCCCTGGAGCCGCAGTTCCAGGTGGCTGGGAGCTGCCTAACTCAACAGAGCTCAGGTCCTCTTGAAGAACAGCACAGTCTCTTAGCCACGGAGCCATCTCTCCAGCCATGCTTTATTATTCTCCCCATCTCACCCCGCCCCATGATACTGGGGATCAAACTCAAAGTTTTGCCCATGCAAGTACCCTCCCATTAAGCTATACTCTCTCATTCATTCTCTCTCTCTCTCTCTCTCTCTCTCTCTCTCTCTCTCTCTCTCTCTCATATGCGACTTAATCTCACTATATAGCATAGGCTACCCTTACATTCTATATTTTCTGTTTTGGTTTCTTGAGTGTTAAGACTACAGGCATGTACCAATCTGGTTGCTAAAATTCCACTAATCTTCTGAGGGAGTAGCTCATAGGTTGAAAACTTGATCGTGTGTACGGGGCTCTGAATTTGATCCATAACACCATTTAAAAAAAAATTAAAAATGGAGTTCTTCTGTGTGTCGTGTGTCCTCTACTTGGCAGCATTTTTTAAAAAGATTATTTATTTATTACATGTACAGTATTCTGCCTGCATGTGTACCTGCACCCCAGAAGAGGGCACCAGATTTCATTATAGATGGTTGTGAGCCACCATGTGGTTGCTGGGAATTGAATTCAGGACCTCTAGAAGAAGAGTTAGTGCTCTTAACCACTGAGCCATCTCTCCAGCCCACTTGGCAGCATTTTTTAGAAGTCCTCTGCATAACTAGCATATCCTCACTTAACTATACCATGTCATTTCCCTCTTACTGATTTTTACATATGATGCAGCTTGCGTGCATTATGAATGTTTTCCCACATATGCACATGTGTACGGAGTTCTGAGCTGACGCTGAGTGTCTTCCTCCATGACTCTCCACATTCTTTACTGAATGAGGGTCTCTAGGTGGACTCGCCATTTCAGCTAGTCTGGCTAGCCAGTCTGCTCTGGACATTTCCCCATCTCTGCCTCCTATGCGCTGGAATTGTAGGCGAGCCATCACACTCCACTTGGGTTTTTATAATTTTTTGTGTATGGGTGTTTTGCCTGTATGTATATCTGTGCACCATGTGTTTGTTTGGTACCAGACAAACACCCATACACCTTTTTTAAAAAAAAAAAAAAAATTGTCCAGCCCTTGGCAGGCAGAGGCTGGAAAATTTGTGAATTTGAAGCCTGGTATACACAATGAGTACATAATGAGAACAATTAAGGCTATCTGGTGAAACACTGTCTTAAAAACAGGAATGTGGGAGGAAGTGAGGGAAGAAAGGAAAAAAGGGAAGAGAGAAAAATCAATAGTAATAACAAGTCTTACATAGGTCCCTCCCCTGGGGACCCATTACTGGACCCGGATGTTGGCAAAAACTACACTTCCCGGAATGCACCACGCGCACACGGCGACTATATAAATAGTCCATCCGGGTTCTTTGGGATGCTGTTTGGCGACTCGTCGCCATTCCCGGAGCACCTCGGCCTCGGCCCAGAGGCGAGTGTCGGACGCTGTGTCGGAGACTCCGGTCCCCGGCACCGAGACAGCCAACCCTCTCTCCTGCCCCGCGGCGGGAGAGCGTGTCCGGCCGGCCGGCGGGGCTCGCGACCCTCCCGCACCTCCCCTTCCCCCGCAGCCTCCGCCCCGCCAGGCCCGGCCCGGACCTCCGAGCCCCGGCCTCCTCCTCCTCCAGTCACCGCCGCCGCTGGGCCCAAAGCCCCACCTGTCGCTTCTCCTTCCATTTTGAGAAGCCGAGGAAGGAAACAAGGAAAAATGTCGCCATGAAGGCCGAGAACCGCTGCCGCCGCCGACCCCCGCCGGCCCTGAACGCCATGAGCCTGGGTCCCCGCCGCGCCCGCTCCGCTCCGACCGCCGTCGCCGCCGAGGCCCCCTTTGATGCCGCAGAGCTCCCCCAGCGCCGCCGCCACCGCCTCCGACATGGACAAGAACAGCGGCTCCAACAGCTCCTCCGCCTCCTCGGGCAGCAGCAAAGGGCAACAGCCGCCCCGCTCCGCCTCGGCGGGGCCGGCCGGCGAGTCTAAACCCAAGAGCGGTAAGAGCCAGCGGAGGTCGGGTCTGCGGGGTCACTTGGGGACAAACGACCCTCCCTTCCCTCGTCCTGAGGTCCAGTGTGTACGATTAAGCTGATCTGCACCGCGTGGTTAATTTAGGCCCTTGCATTCATATTCAAAACAGCTGGCTGAAGTAGGCGCTATTCTTAGCCCCATTTTGCAGGCAAGGAATCTGAGATTTAGAAAGGGTTAAGGTCATCCAGGTAATAAGTACCTCACTGCAGGCTTTAAGACCTAGGTGGTTTTTGTGACTCATCAGGCCATGCTCCAAAACCACTGAGTTTGTGTTGGATTAACATTGGGTAGCATTCCAGATTAAATAAGAGAGGGTGAGGCCCGAGGGTTCTGGCTCCAGAGCTGCTCCTTTAAGAGGACGCATCGTGGAATGGTAAAGCGTGCGGAGACTGTATTCAGTCTTTTTAGGTTTAGTCCTTGAGTTTGCCTTACCTGTAAAAGAGTGCAAGAAGTAAATGAGCAAAGTACTTGGGGTACTCGACAACTACTTGCACCAAAAACATTATACCAATTTGTGTGTGGTTATAGGTGTTTTGCTTTCACGGGGAAATATGTCATTAATATGTGCTTAATATTAACATAGCGTATGATAAGTTAACGATCATGCACAAAGTACTGGGCTGAACTTTTCTCTCTGTTGTCGCTATTCTAATTGTTTATCCAGTGTAGCAAGGTGGAGTTGTTCCCTTCTAGAGAATAAACTGAGACTGTAGGTTGTTGGGAATTGGCAGAATCCTCAGTCCAGCCTTCTCCATCATGTTTCAGAACTATGTACAAATCCTTGTTCTCTTTTAGACTTTCAACATATTAGCTATAATAGCAATGTGGGGTTTTGTTTTTGAGATTGTAATTTAATTCTAGTGTTTCTCCTTCCCTTTCCTCCCTCCAAAGCTTCCCATATAACCTGCCCCTTCTCCTTCAAATTCATGGCCTCTTTTTTTCATTAATAGTTTTTGCTTGCATATATGTATTTTTGTGTATGTACATATATATATTTTTGTGTGCGTATATATCAGTGAACATGCCAGACTAGATGGGGGACGCCTACAAGGCCTCAACCCTACACAAAGGACTACAGGCAACTTAGTAAAACTGGGAGAAGGAGAGGTGATCTCCAGGGAAAAGCACACTGGTTGTCAGTGCTCAAACAATCAGCCCTAGGAAACCGTAAGTGCAAGTAACTTTATATGGACTCAGAGTAGGTGTATGTGACAGGGAACCTTTGGAGGTAACAGTCTGATTCAAAAAGCTGCAGGCCAGAGATGTGATAGAGCTACTTGTATACTTGCCTAGAGTATACAAGGGCCTGGGTTTGATCCTTTCCACCCCTCCGATTTAAATTAAAAGGAAGATTATTAAAAAACACACACACACCAAATTTTTAAGGTTTACTGACTTTGAGATTTTCTCTGCAGGGTGACAAACTCCTTTACCAGTTGAGGGCTTGCAGAATTTGCCTGCAGAGACCAGTTGTCACCATCCATGATATACTAGTGTTTTAAATATCTAAGGAAGAATTAGTGTAACTTCAGGCCAAGTCAGGAATTTCAACTGAATGTAGTTAGTGGCTCACACCTGTAATCCCAGTGCTCAGTTGCTGGAGAAGGACCACCTCAAATTCAAGGCCAGTTTGTGCGGAACAGGGAGTCCTACACTGCCTGGGCTATAGAGTGAGTCTCTGCTTCAAGTGTCAACAGTTTATTTATTTAACCCTGGGTGTCCTAGAACTCATTCAATAAACCAGGCTGGTCTTGAACTCAAGATCTGCCAAAACTCTTGTTTCTTTGAAATAAGGTCTTCCTGCATAGCTTTGGCTGGTCTCAGACTCTGAGGGTTACCTGTCTGTGCCTCAAGTGCTGGAATTAAAGGTGTGTGCCACCACACCTGCTTGCTTATTTGTTTTAGTCTGGATGGTACTGTGCAGCTGAGGTTGGCCTCAGACCCTCCTCCTTCCTCAGCCTGGAATTGCCGGTTTACACTTAGCCTGCCCAACTGAAATGTTTTTATATAGTTTAACTTTAAATATTAGCCAGACGGTGGTGGCACATGCCTTTAATCCCAGCACTAGGGAGACAGGCAGGCGGAGCTCTGTGAGTTCTGAGGCCAGCCTGGTCTACAAGAGCTAGTTCCAGGACAGTTCTAGTGAAACCCTGTCTCGAAAAACCAAAAAAAAAAAAAAAGAATTATATATATATATATATTTATATTATATATATACACACACATGCAGTATTTAGTTATGTACATTTTTGCTGGAGAGTCAATATCCTCTTGTTTTAGTCTCCCTTTTTATTATGCCACGTATGAGAGGGACATTTATTTATTTACTATCATTCACAGAGATCCACTTGGCTCTGCTCAGCTTTTTTTCTAAAATATGGGTTCCAGTGATCAAACTCAGGTCTCAGGTCCTCAAGCATATTCACTGGGTGCCTTTAATAACTAAGCTACCTCACTGGCATAATAAATTTTTTTTCCTACGTATATTTATTTGGGATAGGTGGTCAGGCTTGGTGTCAAGCACCTTGACCAGCTGGAATTAAAACTGGCCCTACTTTTGATCTCCAGACTGGAGAGACTACAAAAGACTTTTGTTGTTTTTTTCTCAAGACACTGTTTCTCTGTGTAGCTTTGGAGTTCAGGGAACTTGCTCTGTAGACCAGGTTGGCCTCAAACTTAGAGATCCACCTGCCTGCATCTCCTGAGTGCTGGGATTAAAGATGTGTGCCACCATTGCCCAGCCGTACAGAAGACTTGGGTTTGGTCCTCCGCCCCACAATGTTCTGGCCTCCATAGTCACAAACATACATGTGTACAGCCATGTATGCAAACAAAACACCCATATACACATAAAAAGTAAAATAAGGTGGTGACACCTTTAATCCCAGCACTTGGGAGGCAGAGGCAGGCAGATACCTGTGTTCTAGGACAGTCTTCTCTCCAGAGTGAGTTCTGAGACAGGCTCCGACGCTACAGAAAGAAAACAAAACAAACGAATTGCAAGCTGTAAATGAAGCCGAGTGCAGTGGGCACAGTGTATAACCCAACACCTTGAAGCACCATGAGTTTGATGGCCACACTAGGCTATAAACAAGCTTCAGGGCAGCCTGGTTACATGATAAGACCCTTTACCAAGCCAAATGAGAAACACTGCATCTGAGAGCACTGCCGATGAAGCCAGTGTTGAGAACTGATGCAGTGACTTTGAGATATGCACTGACCAGAGGCTAGTTTTAAGAGTATTCCAGAGGCTGACTCATTGTTGAAAGGACCTCTTGAATTTCAGAGTCCTGACTTGGAATAGAAGCGTGAAATGAAAGATACGGTTTCACTTTCTTTTGCCAGTGCAAATCACACACACACACAAAACTTACTTGGTTTCTACAGACAGTGTCATGTCTCTAAAACCGAATCCCCTTCTGCCTTGAACTCCCTGATCCTCCTGTCTCCATCTTCCAAGTACTGGAACCTAGGGCATCACCACCACTAGCTTAGTTTTTCCTTTTTTGTCTCTCTTTTGTCCCATATAAAAGAACCCCTTGGTATCTATAAACTGTGTAAGTTATAACTAGTCATTTGCTTTCTTTCTCTTTCTTTATTCTCTCTCTCTCTCTCTTTTTTTTTTTTTTTTTTTTTTTTTCTCTGTAGCTCTTTGGAGCCTGTCCTAGAACTAGCTCTTGTAGACCAGGCTGCCTTGCCTTCTCTTAAGTCTATTTTGGGCCCCCTGGGTCCTAGACATTCTTTTCATTTATTTTTATTTTATTATTTATTTTTAATTTAGTTTTTTGAGACAGGGTCTCTCTGATAGCCCAGGATGACCTGGAACTTACTGGTACACCAGGCTGGCCTTGAACTTGAACTCACAGAGATCTGCCTGCCTCTCCCTTCCCAGGATTAGTCATTTGTGCCTCTACATCTGACTCCTTGTTTTATTTTAAGGGTAGAGGTAGGTAGGTAGGTAGGTGTGTGTGTGTGTGTGTGTGTGTGTGTGTGTGCGCGCACACACAAGAAGGCCGGAAGAGGACATTGTATTACCTGAAGCTAGAGTTAAGAGATGGTTGTGAGTTACCCAGTGTTGCTAGGGACAGAACTTGGGTCCTCTGGAACAAGAGCATGAGGGACTCTTAACTACATCTTTAGCCCTCTTATATGTTTATTTTTGGCACTGGGTACAGAACCTAGAATCTCGTGCATGTTGGGCAAGGACTTGACCATTGAGTTTCATCTCCAGCCTATTTTATTTTATTTATTTTATTTGAGAATTAACTGAGATGGGCTAAAACTGAGTTTGCAGCCAAGCAAGCAGGCCTTGGACTTTGGACCTCCCGAGTAGCTGAGGTCACAGGCCTGTGCTGCCAGTCCTATCTTGCTTGGCCTTCCCCTCCTACCTCTTTTCTTTAATTTCTTAGTCTTGGTCTTGTTTCATTGTTTAGGCTTCCTTGGACTCTCATCTTTCTGTCTTCTTGCCCTTAGTCCCCTAAGAACTGTAATGCCCGGCAGCATTCATAAACTCTAGAAGTGACCCTGATGTACAGCTCGAATTGGGAACCACCATTCTGAGGTTTAAAACTTGACCAGAAAGCAAAATAACAGAAATGGGAAAAATAAAAATAAAAATGGAGGAGACAAAAAAAAGTTTCTTCTAGGAACTTGACTTGTTTTTCAGAATCTAAAGTGGATCCTCTTGTTTGTTCAGAGAGAGGAGGGCAGTTCCTACCTGAGTTGTTCACCAGCATGTCCTGGAAGCTGTCTACAAAACATCTCAAAAATAGCACTGTGCGTTTGTTTTATCTTCCAGTCCCAGGCAGGACAGTACCATTAATCCTCGGCTACCTGTTGCCTGGGTTTAGAGATAAGAGCCAGTTTCTAACTTGAGATGTCTCCCTTTAGGCTTTGAGGTCTTTGGAAGACAAGAGAAGGGAGTTGATTTTAGGGCCTGAAATTCTGAATTCTTATGTGGTCAGTTGTTGTAATCTGATTTAGAAATAAGCAGTTCACTGTCCATCGCTGAGTGGTTTTTAAGTATTAGGAAACCGTTTCTCTGAGAGTGTGGTAATAAATGAAGAAACAAACAGTCTTACCAAGTGCCAGTTTATCTTGATAAAGTCTTCTCAGTGTAGCATTTGGCTTCATTCTTGAAGATACTGTGAGGTATCTTTTGTTTGTTTGTTTGCTTTTAGAGACAGGGTTTTAACCACCCTGGCTGCCCTGGACCTTGTTTGTATACCAGTCTGACCTTGAACTCACAGAGTTCTGCCTCTGTCTCCCAAGTGCTGGGATTAAAGGTGAGCTTCACCACTGCTCAGCCCAGGTATCTATCTATCTTTTTTTTTTTTTTTTTTTTTTTGGTTTTTCGAGACAGGGTTTCTCTGTAGCTTTTTTGGTGCCTGTCCCAGAACTAGCTCTTGTAGACCAGGCTGGCCTCGAACTCCCAGAGATCCGCCTGCCTCTGCCTCCCAAGTGCTGGGATTAAAGGCGTGCGCCACCCCCCCACACCCACCCACCCCCCCCCAGGTATCTTTCTTATATAGGATCCCCAACCCCCTATTTTATGTACCAGAGACCAAACCTAGGGCCTTGTATGTTCTGTTAGCATCAGATAAGGAGGTTTAGAGAATATGTTTTCCTTGTTTCTCTCTCTCTCTCTCTTTCTTTCTTTCTTTTCTTCTGAATCTGGAAAGAGGACTCTGCAGTTAAGAGCATTGAATACTCTTCCAGAGGACTCAAGTTCATTTCCCAGAACCTACATGGCAACTCATATCTGTTAGTAACTCCAGTTTCTGGATCTGTCACCCTCCTCTGGCCTCCCTGGGCACCAGGCATACATGTGCTACAACAAACATACTTGTTTTTGAGATAGTCTCATCCTGTAGTCTAGATTGGTTTTATTTCAGTCCTCTGCCTCTCCGAGTGCCACGGTTATAACTCTGCACAACAGGTGGTGGCTTAGCTCTGATTTCTACTTGCTACCTACCACTGCTGCTGTTCTTGATAATAACTGTTGCTGACTGTCATACGCTTACTACTAGACAAGTGCTGGATTACTGAGCCAGACTCCATCCCCAATTCCAACTAGTAAATTCTGGTTAATATCTGTAATTAAGGCATGGATGTGGTGTGGCAGTTTTCTGTGATGGCCTGCTTTATGCTTTACTCTTACTGCTGCCATCTCCTGGAGCTTGTAGTCATGATCCCTTGGCTGCAGCTGGTTAGGTTTGGAGCGCCTGGTGTGTCATTCTTCCCATAAAGTGTGAGTGCTTTCAAAATTAGGATTTATGGACTGGTAAGATGGCTAGTAGATAAAGGTGCTTACCACCAAGCCTGACAACCTAAGTTTGATAAATCCTTGGGACTGTATGATAGAAGAAGAGAACCAACTTCGGCAAGTTGTCCCTTGACCTCGACGTGCACACTGGGATTAAAGGTGTACAGATGGCTGTGAGCCCTTATGTGGTACACACACACACACACACACACACACACACACACACACACACACTTTGGAAAACTTTTTGTTTATTTGAACCTGTTTTTCTAAGACAGGTTTCTGTGTAGTCCTGGCTTTCCTGGAATTCATTCTGAAAACCAGGCTGGCCTTGGACTCAGAGATATTCCCGCCTCTGCTTCCAAGTCCTGGGATTAAAGGCATGCGCCACCACCACTCAGATCAGTTATATATATTATTTTCTGTGTACGAGTGTTTGTTGTTTCACCTGCACGTATGTCTTTGATCTACATGTATGCATAGTGCTCAAGGGGGCCAGAGGAGGGTGCCAGACACTCTTGAACTGGAGTTACAGATGATTCTAATCCCATGTGGATGCTGGGAATTAAAACTGCGGCAGTGGTAATGCACGCTTTTAATTCTAGCACTTGAGAGGCAGAGGCAGGCAGGTTAGTCTCTTTTGAGTACAGTGTTTTGAGCACCAGACCTCATTACAGATGGTTGTGAGCCACGATGTGGTTGCTGGGAATTGAACTCAGTACCTTTGGAAGAGCAGGCAATGCTCTTAACCGCTGAGCCATCTCTCCAGCCCCTCAGACTGGCTTTGAACATCAGTTTTCTGCCTCTGCTTCCTAAGTGCTAGGGTTATAAGGGGAGCCACAGCTCTTGGCTGTTTATTTTGTTCTTTGCTTTTACATGTATGTGATGTATACAAGTGTATAAGCTTGTTTGTATGTAGGTGCACAGGTGTGAAGTTGCTGTCAAATGTTGTCCTTGATTGCTCTCATTTATAAATTGTATTGTTTATAGATTGAGGCAGGGCCAGCCATTTTCTCCTGGGATTATAGGCGTTGTCATTACTTGCCTAGCTTTCACATGGATTCTGGGGATCGGAGCTTTCAGTGAAGCACTCTTACCTACTGAATCACCTCCTCAGCCCCTTTACAGTTTTTGATTCTTGGTCTAGGGAGATGGCTCACTAAGACAACCTGGTGCCAAGCCTGATGATTGTAGGCGTAAGTCACAAACAATGCCACACCAGTTTGGAATTATGATTAATAGGGTGGTATTTATTTAAAGGGGAAAAAACTTACAGATCACCCAGCTGCGCAACCAGGAAGGGAGTCTAGTCGCCCGACTCTGAGCAGGGAGAGAGGGAGAGGGAGAGGAAGAGAGAGAAGGGAAGTAGCCCCTTTTTTTCAAGGGAGAGAGACCACGCCCCAATGGGCTGGTATCTCAGCGGCTATAGGCTGGAGGAGAGGAAGGACCTCCTGCAACAGATGACCATACTTTTTTCTCCAGAGCCTGCACAGTGGTAGGAGAGAACCCATTCCCACAGTTGCCCTTCTCACTCTACACGTATGCTGTGGCATGTGCATAGAGACACGCAGAATAAATAGCATGTAATAAAATTTAATCCAGAATTTCATTGTATAACTATATAACCAAAATTTGCCTGGAATTCACCATCTAGCACAGGCTGACCTTGAGCTTTTGGATGATCTTCCTGCCTCAGCCTCCCAAATGGGTAAATCAACAGGTATGAGCCACTATGACTGGCTGAAGACTAGAGATATATGAAATTGCTCATAAAGTAACAAAAGAATATTTTGTATGCAACATGTGGCAAGTATATAAAAAGAAGCCAGGCATGGTGAGGGTGTGCCTGCAGTCTCAGTGCTCAGGGGCTGAGGCAGGAGGAAAGTTCAGTTCTAAGACAGTCTGGCCTGTAGAGTAAAGCCCTAGCTCACAGAGCAAAAAGGGGAGAAAGGAAATTTGAGCATTTAATGAAGTAGTAGTTCATGGGTACTTTCAATTGTTTTATATTTTTATAATTCGGTGTGTATTCTTCTGAATATGTTAATGAATATGTAATTCTTTTATGTAATTGAAGAAAAAAGCCAGAAACATTTTTTGAGAGGAAGTAATTAGAGCTGATCTGATGTTCTCCTAGAGCTCAGCTTTTGGTCTGTCAATTTGTTTTGTGACAAACTGTCTCTTGCCTTGGCTGTCCTGCAATTTACTGTAGACCTTGTTGGCCTCAAGATCTCCCTACCTCTACCTACTGAGTGGTAGTAGTAAAGGCATATGACATCATGCCAGGCCTTGTTTTGACTGTGTCCTTTGCTTTACAGAAGCTTTTCAGTTTCAGGAGGTCCCATTTATTAATTGTTTCTCTCAGTGTCTGTGCTGCTGGGGTTATATTTAGGAAGTGGTTCCCTGTGCCAATGCATTCAAGTGTACGTCCCACTTTCTCTTCTATAAGGTTCAGTGTGGCTGGCTTTATGTTGAGGTCTTTGATCCATTTAGACTTGAGTTTTGTGCATGATGATAGATATGGCTCTATTTTCATTTTTCTACATGTTGATATCCAGTTATGCCAGCACCACTTGTTAAATATGCTTTCTTTTTTCCATTTGATATTTTTTGCTTCTTTATCAAAGATCAGGTGTTTGAAGATGTGTGGATTAATACCGGGTCTTCTATTCTGTTCCATTGTTCCTCCTGTCTGTTCTTATGACAATACCAGGCTGTTCTCAGGACCTGGCCTTGTTTTATATGCTTACTGGATATATCTGCTAAAGCCTAGGTTATCCTTCTGTAGAGTTTGTACAGAATTCTACACTATAGTAAACTCAAGGGCAGTGTCTGCCTTGTTCCTGTCAGGCCTCCAGAACAGATCCATTCCTTTAGTACAGAATGACTGTCCCGAAACCAAACAAAGCCCTGCCTTGCTGTGGTTGGTTTTTCTTAAAGCACCAAGGCTCTGGTCTAAGCTTAGCTTTTTTTAGAGGTTGTGGTAAGGCACATTTTCCTTATTTATTAATAAATATAACTCTTCTAGAAGATAAATCAGCCATGCAGGTGGAAAAACATAAAAACTTATTACTGTTTCCTTTTGCTTTCAGATGGAAAGAACTCAAATGGATCCAAGCGTTACAGTCGCAAGCGTGAACCTTCCTACCCCAAAAATGAAAATTTTAGCAACCAGTCCCGTCGCTCCAATTCACAGAAAAGCAAAACTTTTAACAAGATGCCTCCTCAGAGAGGTGGTGGCAGCAGCAAACCCTTTAGCTCTTCTTCTAATGGTGGAAGACGAGATGAGGTATGGAACCCAAGAATGGCCTTACAGAGCTTTGTTTTGGTTTGGTTTTTCCTTCCGCAGAAGGAAAGAAAGAGAGGGAGAGAGCAGGTATTCAAGCTGTCCTTAGAAGCTGAAGGTTAGTCAGACCTGGAACCTTGCCTCTTTTTCTCCCCTAGGGGCTGTGAAAACCAAACCTCCTGGTGGGGGGGAGAGACTTCACTGTCACCTTTGAGAAAGGAAAGCAGATGTGTATTGTCCTTTACTATCACTGTTGCATTTTATGTGCCCTTTGGACTACTTAAGAAACGATTCACTGTAGTGATATTTGCTTTACAGAGTAAATGTCCTTAGTCCCAGACACCTGTCTTTAGGAGTTCCTTAGATTGTTGTTGAGAATAAAGATTCTTGATATGGAGGGTGTTCTAGCTGCTAGATTTAGGAAGCAGCATAAGTACTAATGGAGAAGACACTGCTCAGTGTCCTGTTGTTTGACTGTCTGTGCTGTGTAGCCATTACAGAACAAGACAGATTTAGTAGATGTACTTGTAAAAGGATTACTTAATTGTTGGGATTGTGCCAGCAACAACTGAGGAGTTTGAAGTGCAGCGTTAGACAAAGTATTCACTCTTTGTCCTTTAGGGGCTAATTCTCTAGTCTGGCATGTCAGTCACAAGTAAGTATGCTATATACCTGATGGGCTAAACAGTGTGGATGGGGGAGAAGGGGAAAGAATTAAAAAAAAAAAAAATTAAGTGCTAGAGGAACTCTTGTTCTGTGTGGTACTTTATTTTTTCTTCCTTTTTTTTTTTTTCCATAGTGTCTTTTTGAGAGGTATCACTGTATGGCCTAGTCTGCTGTAGATCACAGGCCTGTGCCATCAGTCAAGCTGCAGAGGTAGATTCTAAGAGAGAGCTGAATGAAGCAAAGGAACACTGCTAGAATTTAAAACTGCAGAACCATGCAGGGAGTACCACAGGGTGTTGTGGGGAGCAGTAAAGAGTTGTAGGGAGTACTACGGGGTGTTGTAGGGAGCTCTACAGCGTGTTGTAGGGAGCATTACAGGGTGTTGTAAGTTGCTCAGACTCAAGCACTGATTTCTGAATAGGAAGAAGCCAAATAAGGGGTACAAAGCACTGAGAGCCATTGAGAAATGCTTGTCACTTTGCTCAAGTACTGCTGTTGAGTAAGACTAGACTAGAAAATGTGAAGGTTGGTCAGTAGGTCATTAGCCTTGGGTCATTTGGGTGGAATGATGACAAAAATGTGCTTGGCCTAGAGTCGTGGGACAGTGGGAGGATGGGAAGAAGAAATGGCAGCATAGCCAGTAATTTGCTACCTGTGCTATAAAGGGAAGTAGAGCAGTGAGGTGGTGGTTTAAGTGTGAGAGGAGCTGGAGAAAATGGCGTATCAGGAAGAGCGCTCTGCTGTTGCAGAAGGCTGTCTTTGTCAGCTCACAGTCCCCGTAACTCCAGTTCCAGGGGATTGTTGTTGGCCTCTGGCAACTGTACTCTGATTCACACACCCATATATAGACACAAACATATACACATAATTTTAAAAAATATTAATGGGATCTTGGGGTTTTTTTTGTTTTTTTTGTTTTTTGTTTTCTTGTTTTGAGATAGGGTCTCATTGTGTAGTCCTGGAACTCTGTGTAGACCAGATTGGCTTGAACTCACATAGATTCAACTACCTAGAATTCATTTGTTTTGAGGCAGGGTCTCACTGGATAGCTGTCTGATTGATCTGGAACTTATATGTAGACTAGGCTTAGACTCTCAGAGATCTGCCTACCTCTGTCTTCTGAGTACTTGGGATTATGGGCATGTAAGCCACCACAACTGGCTTAGTAAAACCTTTTTAAATTTTTTTTTTTTTTAAGTGTGAGTGCAGGAGAGATTTTCTAGTGAGGGATAGGGAAGTGACAGCCTATCTCCTAACAGGGAGGCTGATGAGAGCAAAAAAAATCACTCAGGGAAAATGGTTGAGGGCTTCACAGTGCCCTTGACTTAGTCATGTAGGAAGAAGCAACAGGGTTGGCATAAATGAGAGTCTTGCTGATTCAGCCACAGTAATGAGAGGGTGTGGCAGCAGGCTGTGCTATTCTTAATTCATGGTGCTTATTTTCTCAGTGTAAGGTGATCTGAGAGTGGGTTTGGGAGCTTGAGGGGTGAAGGGTTTTTTTGGGAGAGTAGGATGAATGGGCTGAAGTGTAATTGCAGTATGGCTGCTAGCAATGTAAGGGGCTACTCTATTGAGACTTCCTTGTGTGGCTGTATTCATGTTTCTGCACTGGAGCTGCTGGGGTCGAGGGGTAGGGAGGTATTCTTTAAATTCAGCAGATAGAAGAAGGAATCCTAGGAATTAAGACAGATAAGGAAAGGGAATTTGGGAGATTGGGTCTTGGTTCAGTGACCTGAGGGTAGAGGTAAAAAATTGGAATTAAGCAAGTGTGGAAGCACATACATACCTCTGATTTTACTTTGTCTGGAGACAGAGATAGGAGTGGGGTGGAGGTGGTGGGGTGGTGGACTGAGGTCTCTAGAATTCCAAGCAAGTCAGGACTACATAGTGAGACTTGTCTCAAACATAGACAATCCACAAACAAAATTGTGAGCACAGTGAGTTTCTGATTCAAGTGATGCTCAGGTATGACAGTGAAGAGATACGTTTGTCAACAGCATGGTCTGAACTGTAGAATGGTGCTGTCTAGTGGAAAGCAAGCTGCAGGCCTGTGGTCCAGTGTTTGGGAAACAGGAGCACGGATCCAAGGCTCTACAGCAAGACTGCCTCAGATGCAGTGCTCCTGCACGCCCCCTCCCCAAAGCCATGTATTTGTTTATTATTGTCTGTGTGAGTGTGTGTGCGTGCGTGAGTGCTCTGCCTGCATGTATGTCTGTGCAGTAGTCCTTGTGCCAGATACTGGAAAAGGCCAAAAGAAAGGTGTCAGATCCTCTGGAACTAGAGTTAGAATCTGTTGTAAGACGCTATATGGTGGCTAGAAATTGAACCTCTGCATCAGAAACAAGTGCTATTTTTTGAAATGGTCTCATTTTATAGCTTTGGCTGGCCTAGAGATTTGTAGACCAGGAGCTGGCTTGAATAGTAATGGTATTAAAAGCATGTATCACCACACCTGGGGAATTATTTTTTTTTTTTAAGCAGATCTACTGATCAAATCCAGGGCCTTGTACATGCTAGTCAGTGTTTTACCACTGAGCTATGTCCCCAGCTTCAGCAGCATGATTTTCTAGTTGTCACATTAGAAAGGTGGAAGGATAAGCTATACCAGGCTTTTTCTTTTTTCTTTTTTTAATATTTATTTATTTATTATGTATACAACATTCTGTCTGTGTGTATGTCTGCAGGCCAGAAGAGGGCACCAGATGTCATTACAGATGGTTGTGAGCCACAGTGTGGTTGCTGGGAATTGAACTCAGGACCTTTGGAAGAGTAGGCAGTGCTCTTAACCACTGAGCCATCTCTCCAGCCCCCACCAGGCTTTTTCTTTTGGGACCACCAGTCAGCTCCCAAATCATACTAAAGGCGTTTTCCTCTTTTCACTTTCATACATATCTTAGGCAAGCATTTAAACCAGTGTTCTACTGTTTTCAGCCATGTGGAAGCAGGATTGTGTTGATTTCTGCTATCGGTTGGTAAATTCTTTCAATCTAAAATATTGTCATTCTTTCTAGGTAGCAGAGGCTCAACGGGCAGAGTTTAGCCCTGCCCAGTTCTCTGGCCCTAAGAAGATCAACTTGAACCACTTGTTGAATTTCACCTTTGAACCCCGTGGCCAGGCAGGTCACTTTGAAGGCAGTGGACATGGCAGCTGGGGAAAAAGAAACAAGTGGGGACATAAGCCTTTTAATAAGGAACTTTTTTTACAGGCTAAGTGAGTATTTCCACTCCTAAAATGAAATTGAACCTACTTAGATGGGTTGAACTCTGTGAAGGAAACGTCCTCTAAACTCTTATGGGGGAAAAAATAGAAAAGAAATTGATGTTGTCTTTTTTTCCTGTCATGTTTCTGAATGGATGTTCTCAGCACTTAGAGAACATAGTGCTTGGTGTTACTTCCGGGGCTAGGAATGGTGTGTGGTCTGAGCCTTGGTATGCAGTGGACTGGGAAGAAATCATGGGTCCAGGGAGGGTGGGGACCACAGAAGAACAGTTTTGACTTAAGTGTTTGTGTGCTTAGCTTAGTAGAGGAAGAGCTGAGGTGCAAGCAAAGATCTTCCATGGTGAGCTCTCCTTGGACAGGCCAGTGTGGTTTAGCACTGTTTCCTCAGCTCTAATTGGACAGACCCTATGCTTTGCAGGGCACACTTGACTTTGAGTGCTGTGGTTCTTTCCCTTATGCAGTTCATACAATGTTTCTTAGGCTGTGGATTCTAGCTGGAGGCACCATTGTGAGTGGGAAACATGCCTTGACTTTTTCTCTCAAGGCTTTAACTCTAGTTACCAGGCACTTTTGATCAAATGGTTGCACAAAGTTAGCACTCTGGAGGCTGGAGTACTAGCTTCTGTTCTAGAGGACCCAGACTCCTGTTTTCTTTATTTTTTGACACAGGGGTTTTCTGTATAACCCTGATTGGCCTTAAACTTGCTTCTGCCTCCCGAGTGCTGGGATTAAAGGCATTCGCTGTCATCACCTGGTGAGGACCCAGGTTTTTTTCCCAGCACACACATAGTAGCTCACAGCCATCTGTAACTTGTTCCAGGGCGCCTGATGCCCTCTTTTAGCCCTGAGGGCACTACATCCAGCTGGTGCACAGGCTGGCAAAACACCCATACACACAAATTTATGTTAACCTTTATTTTTATTTAATAAACATAAGCAAACAAAAAAGTATGCACCCTGTTTTTCAGAGATTTTATTTTAAACTGTGTGTGCACATGAATGTTGGTGTTCAAAGTGGGACAGGCTTTCAGTTCCCCCAGAACTGGAGTTTTAGACAGCCTTGAGCCTCCTGACATGAGTGCTAGGAACTGAACTCAGGTTCTCTGCTAGAGCAGTATTTTCTTTTAAAGTGACATCTCTCCAGCATGTGTGTGTGTTTCTCGTGCACATGTGGAGGCCAACTGTTATGTTCTAGGAAGTTCTAGGAAGGCTCATTGCTAGGAACTGATAAAGATGGAGTAGGCAGGAAAGCAAGATTGGCTCTTGGGTATAAACCGAAGCATCATTGTGTACTTAAATGCAGACTGCTCTCAAATGATTGAGAATAGCTTTCTACTGCCTGGAAGATGAGCTGTATTCATAGGGTCCAAGGGTTGAGGGAGGAAGTCTCAGTCTGAGCTAATTTTAGTTCAAGGGAGAACAGCAGGGAACTTGGCTGGACTTGGAAGCAGAAGAAAACTTGATGGATTTGGGCATCTGCCCACTGAGTCTAGACTCCTCATGGAGCCAAGGCTCAGAGCTGTGGCTAATGTTTGGGGTCATGCTGCCACAGCCTCGCCTCAGCTGCTCTTCACCAGCATCATGATGGCCTCTGAGAGGTGACGAGTTTGTGCTGAGGCCCTGGTGATTCTGACAGTCTCCGTACCCTCTGTCTTTCCTGTTCTTTTTAGCTGCCAGTTTGTGGTGTCTGAAGACCAGGACTACACAGCTCATTTTGCTGACCCTGACACCTTAGTCAACTGGGACTTTGTGGAACAAGTGGTGAGTGGAGCAGCGTCAGCGGGAGAGCTAAAGAAAAGCTGTTAGCAAGCAGTGTTAAGTTAGGATACTTTTTTTTTTTTTTTTTTTTTTGAGGCAGGGTTTCTCTATGTAGCCCTAAGCCCTAGCTGTACTGGAACTCACTCTGTAGCCCAGGCTGGCCTCAAACTCAGAGATCTGCCTGCCTCTGCCTCCCAAGTGCTGGGATTAAAGGCGTGTACCACCACCGCCTAGCTTGGATATCAATTTTTGACTAGTCTTATGGCACATATTTTTCTGAGGTCAGTTTCTTGTTCCTCTTGGAGTTTATTTTGTTACCAAGTGGACTTGGGATATGGAAGGCTCTGCTCCAAGGGTATGTAAGCATTCCTTTCTATCAGTCACTTGCCAAGGAAGTCGTAACCAGGACTCTGTTAGAGGAGCTCTCAATACTTTCCTACCCAGGCTGAGCTCAGCTACATAGGCTTTTCTTTACTGGCAGCCCCTTGTTGTAAGTAGTATCAGATTATCAAGTGGTTGTATTTTCTGCAAAGCCATGCTTGCATTTTTTCTGGTTAGGTTATGAACTTGTGTTTCCTTGTTGATCCTAACGGTATATAATCTAGTTATTTTAAAATAATAAGTGCTATTACTTTTTATGTATGTTATTCTGACAAATTTGGACTCCTGTTACTTTAAAAATTTATACAGTCATCTAAGAATGACATAGAATGCTTAGAAGAAAAAACATTTTATATACATTGTTTAAAAAGCAAACACATGTAAAGTGAAGGTCTTCACTACTCTATTGGAAGATGATCAGTAAATTAAATGTGAACTTTTATGCCTCTGCTAAATATATATTTAAAAATTGTAGCCGGGGTAGAGAGGTGGCTCAGCTGTTGAACCAAAGGACCAGGGTTCAATTCCCAACACCCATATGGCAGCTTACAACTGTCTGTAACTCCAGTTCTGGGGGATCTGACTTCTTTACACAGACATACATGCAGGCAAAACACTAGTCACTGGTCATAAATAAAAATAAATAAATTATTGTAGCCAGGCAGTGGCGTTGCACACCTTTAATCCCAGCACTCGGAAATAGAGACAGGCAGATCTCTGTGAGTTCAAGGCCAGCCTGGTCTACAAAAGGAGTTCTAGGACAGGCTCCATGGCTACTGGAAACCCTGTCTTGAAAAACTAAAAATGTAAATGGAATGCTGTAATTTATGTCATTTTTGCCTGTAATGTAGACCCTCCAAGTGTCTGGTTAACTGTCCTATTTGATTAACCCATGATTGTGGCTTTCTTAATTTACTTAAAATGTGTTGTGCATCCTTATACTTGTACTATTAAACAGGTTTTATTTATTCTTTTTTTTGTTTTTCGAGACAGTGTTTCTCTGTAGCTTTGGAGCCTGTCCTGGAACTAGCTCTTGTAGACAAGGCTGGCCTCGAACTCACAGAGATTGATCTGCCTCTGCCTCTCCAGTGCTGGGATTATAGGTGTGTGCCACCACTGCCCGGAGCCTATGTATTTGTAAGTACACTGTGTGCAGGCCTGGTACCTGTATAGGCCAGAAAGGGGCGTTAGATCTCCTGGAACTGGAGTTACAGAGGGTCATGAGCTATATTGTGAGTGCTGGGAACTGAATCTGGGTCCTCTGCAAGAGAATGTCTTTTTATTGCTGTGATGAGACATGAATTATAGAAGAAACTGTTTGTTTGAGCACTTGCTTACAGTTTCCGAGGATACCTCCATGACTGTCCTGGAGGGGAACGCGGCAGCAGGCATGGTACTAGAGCAGTAGCTGAGAATTTACATGTTGAAACAACACCCAGCAAGCAGAGACAGAGCTAACTGGGAATGGCATGGAGGCCATTCTCATTCAGACCACACAGTGAAGCAGCAAGTGCTCTGACTGCTGAGCCGGCTCTCTAGCTGACTCTTCTGTTAGACAGTCTGGTAAAGAAGTGGTGAGATACAAGAGACTTTCTCAGCCTCTCCATAGTCAGTTCTGAAAGCAGTGATGTTCTGCTGTCATTGTGTTTCAGCGCATCTGTAGCCATGAAGTGCCATCTTGCCCAATATGCCTCTATCCACCTACTGCAGCCAAGATAACCCGCTGTGGACACATTTTCTGCTGGGCATGCATCCTGCACTATCTTTCACTCAGTGAGAAAGCCTGGAGTAAATGTCCCATCTGCTACAGTTCTGTGCATAAGAAGGATCTCAAGAGGTAAGACTGAGAGTCATTAGACCCTAGCCTGCTGCCTCCTCACTCTGCTTCATCTCACTCTGCTAAACGTCGTTGTCTCAGTGTTGTTGCCACAGAGTCACGCCAGTACGCTGTGGGTGACACCATTACAATGCAGCTGATGAAGAGAGAGAAAGGAGTGTTGGTGGCCTTGCCTAAATCCAAGTGGATGAATGTAGACCAGCCTATTCATCTAGGAGGTGAGCATGAGTCATTTAGAGGGTGCACACCTTTTATCCCAGCACTCAGGCTGCAGAGGCAGAAGGATCTCTGAGTTCAAGGCCATTCTGGCCTATAGGGTGAGTTTTAGGATAACAGGGCTAGACAGAGAAATCCTGTCTCAAAAACAACAGCAACAATAAAAATCCATCCTTTGGCTAAACCAGTTTTAGCCATATAATGAGAACCTGTCCCTAAACAGGGGCAGCCTATCATGCACAAATCTATAGGTTCAACTCCCAGCACTGACAGAACAGAAATACAAGGGAAGAGCTAGCCAGAGTTATGCACACTTGTAATCCTAGCAAGAGGCTGAGACTGAAGGACCAGAAGAAGTTCAAGGTCACCCTTGACTATAGCAAGTTGGAGCCATCCTGAGCTTCATGGGACAACTGTCTCAAAAATCCAAAGTATTGGGGAAGTAAGGAAATAAGCCATCCATGAGTCTTTTTCCTAAAGGTACCCCCAAAATGTTAGGCTTCTTCAGCTCACTCATTCTTTTGAGATTGGGGTTAGCTATACTAGTTTGACAACTGTTATGTTGTATATTGTATGGCTCTAGGATTTTTCTTTTTCTTTTTTAAAGATTTATTTATTATGTATACAACATTCTGCCTCCATGTATGCCCGCACGCCAGAAGAGGGCACCAGATCTCACTACAGATGGTTGTGAGCCACCATGTGGTTGCTGAGAATTGAACTCAGAACTCCTTGAAGAGCAGCCAGTGCTCTTAACCACTGAGCCATCTCTCCAGCCCTGGATTTTGCTTTTTCAAGACAGAATCTCATTATGTAGCTCCAGCTGTCCTGGAAGTGACTATGTAAAACATGCTGGCCTCAAACACACAGAGATCGTGTTTTATTTTTAAAATAATTTAAATGCTTTTAACTGCTGAGCTGTCTCTAGCCCTTACACAGTAGATGGACGATACAGTGCTTGTTCACATCACTAGTGCCTCATTCTTAGAAAACACCTTTCTAAGCATTTCCTTATGGTTAGGCTTAATGTTCTAATTAGTAGATATTAGACTGATTTTTTAAAATATATTTATTCTCATGTATATTGGTGTTTTGCCTACATTTATGTCTGTGTGAGGGTGTCAGATCTTGGAGTTAGAGACAGTTGTGAGCTGCCATGTGGGTACTGGGAATTGAACCCGGGTCCTCTGGAAGAGCAACCAGTGCTCTTAACCACTGAGCCATCTCCCCAGCCCTTTTTTTCTGGTTTCTTAGACTTCTTGAATTAACTTAGTTTAAGATTATTGTTAATGTTTTCAGGAAGTTATACTTAGTCTCATTTTTTCCTAGGTCAGAAAAAGTATGTGTGAGACAGTTTTATTCAGTCACAGCACTTGAGAGCTGTGTTTTTGTGATCCATTGCCTTTCTTTTTTTTTTTTAATATATTTATTTATTTATTATGTATACAGTATTCTATCTGTGTGTATGCCTGCAGGCCGGAAGAGGGCACCAGACCTCATTACAGATGGTTGTGAGCCACCATGTGGTTGCTGGGAATTGAACTCAGGACCTTTGGAAGAGCAGGCAATGCTCTTAACCACTGAGCCATCTCTCCAGCCCCGTCCATTGCCTTTCTTGCAGATGAACAGCACAGCCAGTACTCCAAGTTGCTGCTGGCCTCTAAGGAACAGGTGCTGCGCCGAGTAGTTCTGGAAGAGAAAGTAGCCCTGGAGCAGCAGCTTGCAGAGGAGAAGCACACTCCTGAGTCCTGCTTTATTGAGGCTGCTATCCAGGAGGTTAAGGTAAGTCATTGGGAATGGAAAACCAAGTTCCCGCAGATCCAGGAGACTGAAAACGTTATTTAAGTGGTAAGAGGAAGGAAGGATTGACTTTGAGAGCTTTCAGACTCTTTGAGAGCTAAAAGTAACTGCTCAGAATGTTTTTGTGACTCATTATCACGATGGGTTTCTTTTTGAGCTGTATTCTCAGTTAATAAGGAAGTAGTTTCCTTGTCTAGGAAAATACTTATGAGTTATGAAGGTGTTTTGGGAGACATTGTGGAGTGTGTATGATGGTTTGCCAGGCCTTGGCAACACTTGTTAAGAAATTGGAGTAAGTTGAATTAGCCAAAGAAAGAATTCAGTATCTACTGTATCCTCTAAAACAGGGATTCTCCAACTTGAGCCGTGAGAATCACTCACTTGCTTGACCTTCAGAATGAGTATGTTTCTGGTCTTTTCTCTGGTGGTTTTAGATTCGGGAAGAGGCTCTGTCTGGAGTAGCTGGAGGCAGAGGGGAGGTCCCTGGAGTTGTGGCTGCTCTGGAACAACTGGTGCTGATGGCTCCCCTGGCGAAGGAGTCTGTTTTCCAACCCAGGAAGGTCAGTGTGCCTGTTAGAACTGAGTGACTGTCGTTCTTAAGACTGCTGTGGGCTGTGGGGCTGGTGTAGGAAGAGATGGTGACTGTTGGCTGTGTCCTTGTGACCAGGTCTGTCAGCTTTTTCCAAGGATGGGGATGGCCATGAGAGCTCAGATGAGCATCCAGGGATCTTAGGCCTATCTTTGCCACATCATTTCATGAAACAGGGCATAGTACTTTCTGTTGACCTACGGTTTGTTCCAGCAGGGTGTGCTAGAGTATCTGTCTGCTTTCGATGAAGAAACTGCAGAAGTTTGTTCTCTGGATTCCCCTCGTCCTCTTGCTCTCCCTTTGGTAGAAGAAGAGGAAGCAGTGTCTGAACCAGAAGCCTGTGAGGAGTCAGAGGTAGCAGATGACAATCTTGGGGAGGGGACCATTTGTACTGAGTCAAGCCAGGAGGAACCCATCACTATGCCAGGCTTCACCCAGCTGAGCAGCTCTCCTTGTTACTACTTCTACCAAGGTGAGGGCCCCAGGAGGAGGGCTGGTTTCCTTAAGAGGTATTTGAAAGGGATGACCTGGTACTCTGAACAGGGGGAGGCGTCTTTACCAGATCCTGGGGGTTGACTGACTGCTTTCCAGCAGCAAGTAGGAGTGGCAGGCCTAGCTGGGAGAGGTCCCTGCTGAAGGCTGGCCTGGGCTCATGTGACGGAGCTCTTGTCTTTAGCGGAGGATGGACAACACATGTTCCTGCACCCAGTCAATGTGCGCTGCCTTGTGCGGGAGTATGGCAGCCTGGAGCAGAGCCCAGAGAAGATCTCAGCGACAGTGGTAGAGATTGCTGGGTATTCCATGTCTGAGGTAAGGCTTTCTGTAGAGGGGAATAGCAGGATGTGACATTAGTCTAATCTCTTTGGGGTAGGCCTAACTAGAGTAAGACTATAGAGACCTTTGGGGCCCTTAATAAGTTTGTTGTGGTTTATTTGTTTGTTTATTTATTTATTTTTGAGGCAGGGTTTCTCTTTTATATCCCTGGCTGTCCTGAAACTTGCTACTTAGAACAGACTGGCCTTATGCCTCTGCTTACCAAGTGCTGGGTTTAAAGGTGTGTACTACCACACTTGACAGTTATTAATTTTTTTGAGAGGGTGTCTCATGCAGCCTAGGCCCTATAGCTAAGGATATCTGAACTTGTGTCCCTCCTACCTCTATCACAGAAGTGCTATGATTTGTTTTAATTGTTTTTTGTTTGTTCAAGCTTATTGTAGTCCTGGGTAACAACTCAGTGTGTGTGTGCTAGCGCATTCTGTCACTGAGCTACAGCTCTATCCTGCGACTTGATTTATAGCTCTTTATTAGTGATGGTGCAGTGAATTGTGTTAAATGTTAGATGCTGCTTTAAGATCGTGCCAGGTCTCAGTGTCAGATGGACTGCCCTGCTTCTCAGGGTCATTTTCTGCGATTGGGGGATTGGTATCTTCTTTTTCATTCCATATGCATTTGTTCTTGTCCCACCCACCCACCTCCTTTAAATTGATTTTTTTTTTTTTTCTGAGACAGGGTTTCTCTGTAGCTTTGGAGCCTCTCCTGGAACTAGCTCTTGTAGAACAGGCTAGCCTCAAACTCACAGAGATCTGCCTGCTTCTGCCTCCTAAGTGCTGGGATTAAGGGTGTGAGCCACCACTGCCTGGCTTAAATTGATTTTTATTTATTTTTTGAGGCAAGATCTTGTTATGTAGCTCTCTGACTATGCTAGAACTTGCTGTATAGACCAGGCTGGCCAAGTGTGCACCACCACACCCTTGCCTTTCTCTCTTTTTACCGTTGAGAGAAATGTTCAAAACCCCAAAGTCCTTCAATGTTTTATGCTTGGTCACACAGACAGGAGTGTGTTTTTAGTTTTGAAAGGTACCTTTGAATTATGGTTTGGTTTACATATGTGAATTTTTTGTCATTCAGTAAATATGCCTGTGTTGATTATAGAATTGTAGATGTAAAATAAAAGATCCTTGGGTGACGGGCGGTAGTGGTGCATGCCTATAATTCCAGTGCTTGGGAGGCAGAGGCAGGTGGATCTCTGTGAGTTCCAGGCCAGCCTGGTCTACAAGAGCTAGTTCCAGCACAGGCTCCAAAGCTACAGAGAAACCCTGTCTCAAAGAAAAAAAAACAAAACAAACAAACAAAAAAAACTTTGCATGAAATAAATCCAGAAAAAGAATAGAAACTTAAGTGAACTGACTTTGGTTTTGTGTTCCACTCAGTAGGTCTTGCTTTACCCTTCCTCCTTTCCATTGTCATTGATTCTATCAGTGGTTCCCAGTTCCAGGCTTTTTTTTTTGTTTCATTGTCATTGAGTACATACACTTTGGTTTTTCCTGTTCACTCTCTGATAGTGGACCCTAGACAGTTAGAAACAATGGCCAGCTTTAGATCAGTTTGTTACTGGGCTCAATTTACTCACTTACAGCTCAATCCAAGGAACCCTGAGTCTGATGAATTGATGAATGTTTTTTTTTTTTCCTGTGCGGTGGGGGGTATGAGTGCTCTGTAGGCCAGAAAAGGGCATCAAATCCCATTACAGATGGTTGTGAGTCACTGTTGGGTGCTGGAAATTGAACTCAGTACCTCTGGAAGATCAACCAGTGCTCTTAACCACTCAGTCATCTCTCTATCATCCCCGCCCCCCATGGATGTTCCACCTGTAGGTTGCCCATAGTATCTGCCTTTCAAAAGAGCATTTTCTTCTCTTCTCAAAAGAGAATGCCATTCAACAGTGGCATTCTTCTTCTGAGTTACAGTGCTGAGTGTGTATACTGTTGGGATGTTGGGTTGGGATCCTTTGCTCTTAAGAGCTGTTGAGCATTGGTTCTGTTTTCAATGTAGGATGTTCGACAGCGCCATAGGTATCTCTCTCACTTGCCACTCACCTGTGAGTTCAGCATCTGTGAACTGGCTCTGCAGCCTCCTGTGGTTTCTAAGGAAACTCTCGAGATGTTCTCAGGTGAGAAAGAACTGTTTTGCTTCTCTTTGTACTGGGAACCTAGTATGGGAGGAAGGGCTTAAGCTGTATCCTGAAAGAGTCATTTGTCTAGGCCAGATGACCCACTGGCTACTAGTCATCTAGTAGTTAATGATGGGTGATCTAGCTTTCTTACAACTTGACCAACCCACAGATGACATTGAGAAAAGAAAGCGTCAGCGCCAAAAGAAGGCTCGAGAGGAGCGACGCCGAGAGCGCAGAATTGAAATGGAGGAGAACAAGAGACAGGGCAGGTGTAAGTTCAAGAGCTCTTGTGTTTGCTTAGCTTTGCTGTGTGTGAATCTGTGCGGCTCCTTGCAGAAGCCAGGCTGCTTGCTTATGCTCTGCCATTTGTTACATGGTAGGGAATTGGAGTGCTGTTCAAAGTGCTGTTCAGACCCATGGAAAACATGTGCAGGGTTTGGGTGTGAGAGCTCTGTTGATCAGGATGCAATCTTCTGATTTGACTCTAGAATAAGTCACTAAGTCTAGGGGATTAATGTGACTTGAGGGCCTCATTATCCACTAGAAAACAAGCACCAGAGCAGGGTCTGGTGATTTAGACTGAAAACTTAGATGCAGAGATAAAGTAAAAAAAAAAATGCTGGGTGTGGTGGCGAATGCCTTTAATCCCAGCACTCAGGAGGTAGAGGATCTCTGTGAGTTCGAGGCCAGCCTGGTCTACAGAGCCAGTTCCAGGACAGGTAGGACGGTTACACAGAGAAGACCTGTCTCAGAGAAAGGGGGGGGGGGGGGGGCAGACAAGCTGAGGACTGGGGAAAGGACTAAGCTCTCCCAGTTCCATCCAGTACAGCAAATACAAGTTGGCTTGGTAAAGTGAAGTGAGTATATGCTTGGGCTTTTAGAACCTTGTAGCAAGTATACACCCTAAACTTTAAGAAAACAAATGTCTCAAAAAAAAGTTTTTTTGTCTTTTTTTCTCTTCTTATTTCATTTAAAGTTTTTTTTTTGTTGTTGTGTTTTGTTGAGACAACAGCTCACTGTTTAGCCTGAACCTACTTACTGTGTAGACCTGACTGACCTTGAGTTGTCTCTTAAGGGCTGAAACTGTCTAGGCTTGCACCATAGCTAGTCTTCTCTTTTTGAGGGATTGGGGGTACGGCTTGGTTTATATAGCCTAGGATGACCTTAAATTTGCTCTTACTGTTCCAGCCTCCTTTATTCTGGATTACACATAGCATGGATTATTGTATGAAAGCAAAGACATAGATTCATAATTGTTTGCATCCTCTAGGCCCTCCAGATTGCCCCTCTCTAGAAAAATTCCAAACAGTTATGTAATGGACTTATTTAACCTTTGCTTTGCAGATCCTGAAGTCCACATTCCCCTAGAGAACCTTCAGCAGTTTCCTGCCTTCAATTCCTATACCTGCTCCTCTGATTCTGCTTTGGGTCCCACCAGCACAGAGGGCCATGGGGCCCTCTCCCTTTCTCCTCTTAGCAGAAGTCCAGGTTCTCATGCAGGTAAAGAGCTGATATTTAGTGAATTCTGCCACTGGCTAGAGCTTTAATTTGATTTAATTTTTAAATATGTGTGTGTGGTTACTGGAAGCCAAACCCAGGTCCTCTGCAAGAACAAGTGCTCTTAACCACTGAGCCAACTCTCCATGCCCTAGACCTTAAAGTCCTGGTGTCTGAATTACAACTCTGACCAACTTGGTATAATGTGACATTTAAGTGAAAAACGTGATAGTCCTGAGTTACACTGATTGTTATTTTATCGCCCTTGCCTGTTGGTTATGCTGGCTTAGACCTTGTTGGCTTCTCAACCTCAGAGCAGTTTGTTTCCTCGGACCTATCTGCTCTGGGTTTTGTTTTTGTTTTATTTTCCTCTTCTAGTTTTCACGTTTGAGCATGTTTGTTACTGTCTCTGTTATAATATTGATTGTAATTAGGGGAAAAATAAGATTACTAAATGCACAGTAGGAAATGGTTCATTTAAAAATTTATGAGCTGTATGTGGGCCACCTGCTGTGGTACACTGGGCCTTTCCACTTCAGTCATCAGTGTCCTACAGACTTACCTATAGGCCATTCTTAGGAAGTATTGCTTCAATGGAGTTAAGAGTCCTACTTCCTAGGTGACCTTAGTGTGTGTAAAGTTGACATAAAAACTAGCCAGCATAGATCCTGAGACTAATAATGTACAGGAACTTTAGTGGTAGGAACTGGGGCTAGAACCTGGTTCTTGAGGACAGTCTAACTATGATGCTTTTCCAGTTAACTGGGAAGGAAATTGCTACATGAAAGAATGCTGTGACTCACCGGTTACACTAACTGAGGGGTAGAGGATGTTTTCATCTGACAGGTTGTTGAAATAGGAGCGGGGCTGCGTCCCCTGCACCCGGCCACCCGCATGGCTAGCTTATGCCCGAAATAATTACACGGAAACTGTATTCTATTAAACACTGCCTGGCCCGGCTAGTTCCAGTTTCTTATTGGTTATCTCTTACATATTGTTCTAACCCATTTCTAATATTCTGTGTAGCCCATGAGCTGGCTTACCAGAGAGGATCTTAACCTGCGTCTGTCTGGAGTGGGAGAATCATGGCTACTCCCTACTAAGATTCTTTTTCCCAGCATTCTCTTCTGTCTACTCCGCCTACCTAATTTTCTGTCCTATGAGGGCCGAGGCAGTTTCTTTATTATTAACCAATGAAAGCAACAGATAAGATACAAGACCCACCTCCATCAACAGGTTTTGTTTTGTTTTGCAATTTTGGGCTTCTAAGGCATCAGGAAGAATAGTTTGGTCCTCAGAGTGAAACTGCCAACTAATGTTGGATTAGTGTGGAAGCCTGCTACTAGGAGAGACATGGTGCCCTTGCCTAGCAGTCCCTGAGCCAGTGGAGAGACTGATGTGTGAGAAAGGACAGAATACTACTTAGGACTCTTGAGAGGAAGACTAATTTGGTGTGTGTCTTAAATCCTGAGTGTTTCCATGTCACGGTGGCCGGCCATAAAGGAGGATCTGGCAGGGTTTTTTTATTGAAGTTGTCTGCCCACATAAAACCAGTCAGTAGCAAACAACTAATCTTTGAGAGCCAGCCTTTTGTTTTTATATTTTGAGACAGGCTTGCTATGTAGCCCAGACTGACTTTGAACTCACGATGCACCTGCCTCAATTTACCAAGCGCTAGGATTACAGTCAGGAGCAACCCTAGCTTGAAAGCCAGCCTGTGTGGACGGTGTAACACTTCCGGGGAAGGGCTGCATCCCAGTGTTGCAGTGACGTGAAGAAATGCCTTCTCTGTTCATGGTGTAGGTTGATGTACAATGTTTTTGTTGTGTAAGAACATGTCAGAATTAAAACACTTGAATTGGGCTGGAGAGATGGCTCGGCGGTTAAGAGCACTGGCTGCTCTTCTAGGGGTCCCGAGTTCAATTCCTAGCAACCACATGGTGCCTCACGACCATCTGTAATGAGATCTGGTGCCCCCTTCTGGCCTGCAGGCATATGTGCAGACAATATCTTATACATAATAAATAAATTATTATTTTTATTTATTTTTTTGGTTTTTTTTTTTTTTTTTTTTTTGGTTTTTCGAAACAGGGTTTCTCTGTGGCTTTGGAGCCTGTCCTGGAACTCGCTCTGTAGACCAGGCTGGTCTCAAACTCACAGAGATCCGCCTGCCGCCTGCCTCTGCCTCCCGAGTACTGGGATTAAAGGCGTGCGCCACCATCGCCCGGCTTATTTAAAAAAAAAAAACACTTGAATCAAGGATTACCTTTTGTTATCCAGCCCTGACTTAGTCTTTCCTCCTCTCCCTCTTTCCCTCCCTCTCTGAGGTAAGGTGCTCTCAAGCCAGGCTGATCTGGAACTCACTACATTGCTGGAGCTGACATCAAACACCCTCCTGCCTGCCTGGCTGCCTGTGCTGCCATGCCTGGCTTTCATGGCTATTGTTAAGAGAATGCTCATTCTTTGGAACATAACTCATGTAATGAGGTCTCTGATTCCCTTTCAGACTTTCTGCTGACCCCTTTGTCACCCACTACCAGTCAGGGCAGTCCCTCCTTCTGCGTTGGGAGTCTGGAAGAAGACTCTCCCTTCCTTTCCTTTGCCCAGGTAAATCTTTTGCCCACATGAGCTCTGCTGCTGGTCTGGGAACCTCATCCAGGGATCGTTGCCCCTCAGCCTAGCACAGCTGGACAGAGAGCCTCCTGCTGGCTGAGAGCTTCAAGCAGCAAGAAGTAGCTGAGGGCAGATGCATGGAGAGGGCAGCCAACCACCACCAGTTGGATTGCTGGTCAGATGCACTATGGTGGGGGACTTTCTCAAGAACAGAGTTCTTACTAGTTATTGAGAATCCAAGTGTCCTAGGTGAGGGGCTGCATCAGTTAATTTCAGCTGCTTCTAGGACCTTAGTGTGAGTAATATTTATATAATGTACACTAAATCCTCTACATCTTGAGAGGGAAAGGTCATCCTAGTTACTCTGTAACTAGCCACCGCCACATCCCTTGGTGGTCAGGTAGGAAGACAACAAGCAAACACATTGTCATCTATGCTCAGGTAATTGAGACAAGTGGGTGGACAGCTTCACAGGAAGCCAGACCTTAGAATCTTTAATAATAATGCTTTAGTCTAGATCATTAGTTCTTAACCTGGGGGTCGCAGATCAGATATTTACAGTACAATTCACAACAGTAGCAAAATTACAGTTATGAAGTAGCAGCAAAAATAATGTTATGGTTGGAGGTCACCACACTATGAGGAACTGTGTTAGAGTCGAAGCCTTAGGAAGGTTGGGACCCCATCGTCTAGCTGCTTCTCAGTTTACAATAAGATTACATCTGGTAAACTCCTAAGTTGAAAGTAAGTAAAAGATTTGATGGTAAATGCCTCGTGCCATTAGCTGCTGCACTGGGGTAAGGAGGATGGTTATGAGTACACCTTCGAAAGGAAAAAGATGGAGACTGTCTACTTGATAATAATGGTCGTCTGTGCTGAGGCGTAGACCAGAATTAAATGGCGTGGTAAGCTAGACTGAGGTGTTGAATTTGTATTTTCCTATCATGGCCTTTTTGGTACTGGGATTATAGGCATTTGCTTAATTTTATATGCTTCCTTTAGCTGGGATCTCATTCAAACTAACTGTCAAGAGTGACCTTGAACTTTGAATCCTCCTGCCTCAGAGGGGTTATTAGTTAGCCAGCTAAGTTGTTGAAAACTGTTTTACTGACACTGCTTCTCAGTTTTACTTTTGAAAAGTTGAAAGATTGAAAAGTTGAAAGAATAGTATCACAAACATTATATTTTACCTGGAGTCACAAATTGTGTTTTTTCTTCTTTTCCCCCTTCCCTCCCCCTGTGGTTGTGGGTTTTTTGTTTTGTTTGGGAAAGGTCTCGCATAGGAGTGCAGGCTATTCTGTAACTCACAGCATAGCTCAGTCTCTGAGTGATCCTGAGCTGGGACTTTCTCTTTTCTGTGTAGAGAGTTGTAGATACCACAGTGGCATTTCATTCCATACCTAGAAGAGGCATATTGAGGACAGTAGTTTTTTCTCTGAACAACCAATGTCACATCCAGTAAATGCAGTTGTTACCATGTCTAATACTCCAGGGTATTGCTCTCTCCCCACTTATTCCAGTGTTCTTCCTCATTCTCAGTTCAGGATGCTCTCAGAGATTCCTTACATCTAGTTTTTAAGCATCTTCAGCCTCTTTTGGGCCATTATAGTCTTGTTCCCCTTGAATGAGTGGTTTTGAAACATCCAGACCAGTTTGTAGTTTTGCCATCTAACTCAGGCTGGCTTTGAACTTCGGATTCTCAAGCCTCAGCCTCCTGAGTGCTGGCATTGCAGGTGCGCACCACCACTCCTGGCCTATAGTTTGGATTTGTCTCTTTACTCATGACTAGTTTAAGATTAAACACATAAATATTTCTTGGAGAATAAATATTGGTGATGCATTCAAATTATCTTTTTTTTTTTTTTGATTTTTCGAGACAGGGTTTCTCTGTGGTTTTGGAGCCTGTCCTGAAACTAGCTCTTGTAGACCAGGCTGGTCTCGAACTCATAGATCAAATTGTCTTTTAAAAATAAGAGTCCAGCCCTGGGTTTGAACCCCAGCACCATTTTTTAAAAAGGAAGAATCAGATGTCATAATATTCAGATTTAAAAATCATGAACTCTAGGAAGATCACCACAGTAAAAGATAAAGGTTACTTAAGAGCATGCCTGAAATCCCAGCACTTAGGAGGTAGACAGGAGGATCAAGAATTCAAGAGCAGCCTGGGGTATAGAAGACCCTCAACAACAACAACAAGAAACATTACCCAGGGAAACCAGCACTTGCTAGCACAGCACAACTTATCCTGAATATTCGTGTCGCTCTTTGGGACACAAGCTTTAACTTAAGGCAGGCTCGCTTGAACCCTGTGCCGGGTGTGGGTAGACTGGAGTAGAGAGATCCTCTGTAGGTTTCTCAGTGCAGAAGCCCATGCCTATAATCCCAGTACAAGTTCCAGCTCAGCCCAGGCTATAAAAACAAGAACAAATACTGATAGGATACATACAATGACCACAGTTAGAGCTGGCCTTACCATGTAAAAATGAAGACAGTTCCTTAAGGGCAGAGGGACTGTTGTTGACTTACTATACTTAAGTAAGATGCGGTCTATGGCCGCATCTAAACAGTGATAATTGAGATATTTGGAAAGTAACAAGAGGTAAAAAGCACTGTTGGGCTTTTACAGAGTAGGAGGCTGTTATCCATATATATGCTTCGTTAAGATGGATGGTAGGCTGGGTGTGGTAGCAAATGCCTTTAATCCCAGCAGAGTCAGGCAGATTTCTGTCAATTTAAGGCTAGGCCTGGTTTACATGGTAAGTTCCAGAACAGGACAGCCAGGGCTATGTAGGGAGACCTGCCCCCACCCACCTCCAAAAAATAAAAATAAACTGGAAAGGTATACTGTAATTTTGTTTTTTAAAGATTTATCCGTTTATTATATATACAGTGTTCTGCCTGCACAGAAGAGGGCACTAGATCTTACTATAGATGGTTGTGAGCCACCATGTGGTTGCTGGGAATTGAACTCAGAACCTCTGAAGAGCAGCCAGTGCTCTTAACCTCTGAGCCATCTCTCCAGCCCCCTAAATTTTGTTTTTTAATTTTTTTTTTTTTTTTGAGCTGGCATCTCTAGGCTCCATACTAGCCTTAAACTCATATAGTCCTACTGGTTTTGAATTGTAGGTAGTTTTCCTGCCTCAGCCACCTAATAATTGGGGTTATAGGTATAAACCACAATGCCAGCTCAGGTACATTTAAAGTGCCTTGAGAACGACAGGAAAGAACATCAGAAATAGTATTCCTGATTGTAAGCACCTCTTGTGCTATCCTTAGTATTCTTCACCTGTTTCCTAAGGAGTAAAGTCCTTTGGGGTACACCACTATCTCTTTAGTCATGGCAGAGAGTTTGTGGAGGCTGATGCTGGAAAAGGGTATTGGTCAGACGTTTACATTCTCCCTTTTGTCCCCACTTGGCAGATGCTGAGGGTTGGGAAAGCAAAAGCAGACGTGTGGCCCAAAACCGCTCCAAAGAAAGGTGAGAGCTGGGCAGGAAAGGGCAAGTTAGGACCAACTCCTTTCAAGAAGAAGAGCTCTAGAATTTTAACTTTTGTTTTTTAGATGAGAATAATAGCTTGGTTCCTCCTGCCCCTGTGGACAGCGATGGGGAGAGTGATAACTCTGACCGTGTTCCTGTGCCCAGTTTCCAGAATTCCTTCAGCCAAGCTATTGAAGCAGCCTTCATGAAGTTGGACACACCAGCTACTTCAGACCCTCTCTCTGGTAAGGGCGGAAACTCACTCCGCTGGGCTCAGGCTTAGCCACATATGCTGCCGTTCCGGCCGGTATTGAGGCTTTGGGTCTTGTGTGTTCTATATGAGCAACCACTGAGCCATCCCTCCAGCCCCTAGGCTGTAGACACTTGAGTTGGTTGAGGATGGTTGCAGACATTAACCTCAGTGCTCACCTGACACCGGTGTCATTAGGCAGGGATGGGGTGGCAGAGAGATTGCAAAGCCTGCTCACTCTGCTGTGAGTGAAGCAGGCTGGGGTGGCGGTGTGGGCTAAGACTGCTGTTTCTTTCAGAAGACAGAGGAGGAAAGAAACGGAAGAAGCAGAAACAGAAGCTCCTATTCAGCACCTCGGTTGTCCACACCAAGTGACACTACTCACCCAGGCACCTTCTCCATCTGGTTTCTTTTCTGTGCTTTTGTTTTGCTGCTGTAATTTTTAAGTATTTGAGTTTGAACAGATTGATTAGCTTGGGGCGGGAGGGGGGTTCCACAATGTGAGGGGAACCAAGAAAATTTTAAATACAGTGTATTTTCCAGCTTCCAGTCTTTACACCAAAATAAAGTATTGACACTCACAAGAGACACCTTCCTGACCTTAGTTCATCTGTAGGTTAGTCTTTTTGATTCAGATGTTAATTTTCTCAACCAAAGTCTGTGTGGTCTTGTTTGGACTTCCTGGCTTGCCAGCACAATTCTGTGGTCGGTTAAAATAGTTGAATCTCTCCTATATGTTAAATTCTCCTTGTCAAAGATCCAGAGGACTAGGATTAAGCAGGATTAGGATATCTATATCTGGTTTAACACCTAGGTTTAGGGAACTGCTGTGAGCTCAAGGCTGGGTGGTGACAGTAGAAAAAAAAAGCAAAATTGGAAGTTTTTCTTGTAGGAAGTGGCTACTCTGACCAGATCTCAGCTGGCAGCTAGCCCCAGGGTAACTTAGCCTTTGCACTTAGATATGAGTTTTGCCTGGTGATTCTTTAAGAGAAGCTTCACCAAGAAAGCTCTGGACCCTGTCACACCCCCAATAGCTTTCAAAAAAAAAAAAAATTGTCTTTGGGCATGTCTGTGTGTTGGATCCCCCTGAAACTGGAGTTACCTCACATGTGTTTGTGAGAATGAGTGTGTGTGGGAATTGAACCCAGATCCTCAGGAAGAATGATGAGTACTCTTAGCTTCTGTCCCCAAGCTTTTTTTAAGTGACAGTCGTTTAATGGAGGCACAAAGGGTGTCTTAGGGTTTCTATGGCTGTGAAGAGACACCATGACCACAGCAGCTTTTATAAAGAAAATATTTAATTAGGGCTGGTTTACAGTTTCAGGTTTCATCCATTACTATCTTCATGGTGAGAAGCATGGCAGTGCAGTGCTTCAACAGATATGGTGCTGTGAATTTTATATTTTGATCCACAGGCAGAGGAAGCAGCTGTGAGCCATACTAGGTATAGGTTGAGGCACAGGAACCTCAAAGTCTGCTGCTGCAGTGACACAATTCCTCCAACAAGGCCACAACTCCTAATGGCCAAGCTTTCAAACACAGGAGTTTATAGGGGCCATACCTATTCAAACCACCATACAGGGTGAGTCCATAATCATCACGGAAAGCATGGCAGTAGAGAGGCAGACATGGTGCTGGAGAAGTAGCTGGCATCTTGCATTGCATCCATTAGCAGGAGGCAGAGAGCTAATTGGGAACAGTAGGCTTCCCAGACAGTCCTGCCATCTGGGAACCGTCCGCATTCAAGCCAGCAATCCTCCCAAGTGCTATCCTGCCTCACTGGGCCAGCTGAAAGCTACATTTCTTATCAAGCCGCCTGATCAGTGGTCAGGTGGATATCCTGGTGTCTGCAGTCCCAAAATACACTGGGCCGACCCTAGATTTATGTCATTGTAGTTGGTGGTTAGTCACCAGTATTTCTGCTTCACACGAGTCTCCTCACCCCCAACACTTCTCTGTAATTGTGGCTGTTCTGGAACTCACTCTGCAGACAGGCTGGCCTAAAACATCTGCTTACCTCAGCCAGTCTGGTGTTGGGATTAAAGGCGTGTACCGCCATGCCTGAATTCTTATTAAGGGACTAGGAATATTTAAAATTCATCTAATACCACACAGGGGCACATTCAAGGCCAGTGTGATAGCAAACAGAGACCTGGCCAAGCATGAATTATATAAATACTTTATGTAGTTTAGGAATGTTGCTTTGGAAGCCAAGAATATTCCACCCACCCGGCTCAGTTGGTTACATAGGAAACGTCTGTACAGAGCCTCTAGGACCATGGATGGTAAAGGCAGCCATGACCTGTGGCTCTGGCTCACAGTTTGGGGTGCTGCTGCCAACTCCAACTTCCTGGTCCCACAAGTGGGCCTGGAAACAGGGTCATTCTATTGCTTCCGCAGTGTCCTCACCAGCAATGTCTGAGAGCTCTTCGGACGGCTCTTTCTCCAGTAGATGGCTTATCGAGAAAGACTTCTTAATGGCTTCCTTCTCCCCTAGAGGAGAGAAAGATGTCCTTGGGTATCACCTTACCCGCTGAGCCTCAGTCATTGCTTGCCCTGGCTGACTGTTGCTTACCTTCATCAGTGCAATTCTGCAGCAACGGCAACAGCTGTCTCCGGTTGTACCTTATCAGGAATTTCTGACAGGTTCTAATTGTACCTGGCACATGAAGAGTTTTTGTGGACAACAGTTTTTGAAACAGTCGCTGTCTTTCTGGGGCAGGGGCGGATGGAAGGACATCTTGTGGGACAGCAGGCGCTCGGCAACTGTCCCCACTGAGTTCAGAAACTGTTACTTAAGAAAACAGCCACCACACACAAGCTACCGCCACTCTTACCTCCCACTCTTACCTCCCACGTGCAGTGTGTTGAGAAAACACGAGTACCGGTGTCCTTTGCTCTCCAAATGCGTGATGAAAGGGAGAGCTGACCACAAAAGCCGGTAGAACTCCTTTCGGCATCGAAGTAGCACTACTCCGGTGTAGGCATTGACGTAGCGAACTACGGTAGGAAGGGAAGGGAAGGGAACAATCGGAAAACTCCCCATTCACAGAATTAAAAACAAAAACAGGGAAAACCCTAGTATGTGCCAGGAACTGTTTTAGACAAAAGTCAATGGGAGTATGCATCACTGAGTGGTATTTTTTAAATTTTGGGCTGTTTTGCCTGCATGTATGTATATGCACCACGTGTGAGCTGAGTGTCATCTTCTGGGACCAGAGTTAATCACCATGTGGTGCTGGGAATGGAATCCTGGTCCACTGAAAACCTCAAATGTTCTTAACTGCTGAACCTTCTCCAGTCCCACCAGTCCTGCTAAAAAACATACTTGAAAGGTTTTGTTTTTCCTTCGATACGGCCCCGTTATCGTCCTGGCTGGACTACAACCACTCTCTGCCTCCCGAGTGCTACGACAAATTCATGGCCAAGGTGCGCAGCTTGAAAGGGAATTTTAGGATAGACCTTCCAATGTCAAGCAGTCACTGACCACTCAGGTCAATGAATGGAGTGAGAGAGAAGCTCCACCGTATTTAATCTGCAGAATTCAAGTTTAAGCGTACGGTAAAGGACTGAAATGTGGCATTCGGAGAAAAAAGGCTTTCGAGTTCATCCCGCTTTTCCTTAGAATTCCTGTGCACTCGTCCGTTTGAGGCGCTTTAAACTTTTAAAAAGGGAAAAATCTGACATTTTAAAACGTGTTAACGTGACCTGTCAAATCATAGCTCTTACAAGGATTCTACATCTTCAGTTAGCCTAGTAACTTCAACTCCCTCGCCCCGGCTGCAGGGCCCCTGTACCTGCAAAGCCCACCGAGCAGGCGGCGGCGCCGAAGGTCCCGTGCACCCGGGCGATCGTGTCGCGGACGAGGCCGCCGAGCACGCGGTCGTCCAGGCTCAGGCGGCAGCGCGCGTCCTCTGACACCAGCTCGCACAGGAGGTACCTGCGGCGGACGGCAGCGGTGAGCGCAACCGGGGCACGCGACCCCGCCGCGAGGGCGCGGGGAGGACGCTTCTTACCTGTGCTTGTACCGCACCATGGCGTCCGCGCCGGATCCGGGAGGAAGGCGGGACTGGGCCCGACAGGCCGAGTGCTCTGTCAATCTCCACGCCCCGCCTCCCTCGGAGAGTGTAAGAGCGCATGCGTCCGCCTCAGGCGGGAGCTGGGGATTTCTCACTGAATGTCTGGATTAATTTGTATTCCACAACGTTGAACGGTGAATTTTGAGGCCAGTCCTGCACTTAAAGCCCAAGACTAGCCGGGCAGTGGTGGCGCACACCTTTAATCTCAGCACTCGGGAGGCAGAGGCAGGTGGATCTCCGTGAGTTCGAGGTCAACCTGGTCTACAAAGTGAGTTCCAGGACAGGCTCCAAAGCTACAGAGAAACCCTGTCTTGAAAAACAAAACAAAACAAAACAAAACAAACAAACAGAAAAATAAAAAAACACTGAGACTATCGCGGGAATTGGGACCTTTAAAGAAGTCAGAGCAGAGGTTTTTCCATATAGCCAAATACGCTAACGTTTTTAGGGGTCCTCGACAGTTGTGTGGAGGTTTTTATCAATTGGTTTGTCAATCTCCTCCCCTCCTTCCTTATTTCTTTGACCCATATTGCCCAAAATAACCCCAGACTGACTGCTGCCAAGGAAGACCCCAAATTTCTGATTTCCCTGTCTCTTCCTGCCAATAGCCAGGATTGCCAATACGCACCACCACATCCAGGCCCTTTGTTTTCTGTTAAGAATAGGGATTGTGAGCTCACGACAGCCAAGGCTACACAGAGAAACAAAAGGGGGGGATGGGTGTGTGTGTGTGTGTGTTTAAATCAGGGTCTTTAACTTCAGTTTGGCTTGGAGTTCAAAGCACTTGTGCCTCAGCCTCCCAAGGGCTGGGGTTCCCCGGGTGCACCACCATGCTTGCTTGGTTCACTTCACAATCTTGTATGTAAAGTGCATATTCTTTTTGTTGTTATTTTTGTTTTTTGAGACAGAGTTTCTCGGTGTAACAGCCTTAACTGACCTGGAACGCACTCTGTAGACCAGCCTAACCTCGAACTCACAGAGATTGCCCGCCTTTATGAGCCCTGAGGTTAAAGGCAAAGCATATATTCTTCGGGTGCGGCTGACTGAAGACTTGTGTGACATAGATAACTCTACACTCGGTCAGGTCCTAGACCCTCGCAAAGTCCTTAGCGAGGGGGAGCCACTGCCCCCGCTCCCACTTCTCCAGGGATAGGTGCTGCTGGACCTGGGACTTGATGGATATATTTTACAGCATGCCTGTTCCATGCAACATGGCTATAAGTCTGCTTCTTTTTTTTTTTTTTTTTTTGGTTTTTCGAGACAGGGTTTCTCTGTGGCTTTGGAGCCTGTCCTGGAACTAGCTCTTGTAGACCAGGCTGGTCTCGAACTCACAGAGATCCACCTGCCTCTGCCTCCCAAGTGCTGGGATTAAAGGCGTGCGCCACCACCGCCCGGCTAAGTCTGCTTCTTGACTATGTTTTCATTCCATCTGTTCTGCTACAAACCGATTCCTCATCTGCCCAGTGCTGTAGTGTTTAAATGCACTGCTAAGTCGGCCAGTCTTCTTTGGTGGACCACATACACATTTTTTACTGATTTTCTTGTTGTCACGGGGTTCTTGGTGCCTGACTTTGTAGCGAGGTCATTTTTACATTAGTTTTATTTATTTGTTGTATAAGTGTGTAGGTGTGTACTTGCCGCGGCTGGAGTTTTAAGAGTCGGTTCTTTCCTACCATGTGCATCCCAAGGATCAAACCCAGACTTGGCAGCTAAAGCCCTCAGCCCTCTATGACCTTGGTTATTTGTATTATCTGTCCGGGCCTCGTCTGACCGGATGTGGTAACATAAAGTAAGACATCTTTCACAGCTATTTGCAAGATCCGTGATAAATTCGCTATCTTCCCCAGGTTTAGGGAACCAAAGAACTCTCTTTCACACATTGCAATAACCAACTATCCAGAACCACCGAGATCAGCGTCCTCCTTGGCCAGTAGGGAGTGCCAGAGACCCACAGTGTGCAGAGTTCAACCTAGCCTGGGAACAACAGCCTCACTACTCTTCTGCCTCCCTAAAAATAGCGTCCCTGACACTTCCTGGTGTCGGTCTCAATCCCAACCCTGCGCCCATTTTATAGGTGCGGTTCAGGCCCAGATCAGTGTCTCCTACCTAATACTGAACAGGCCCAGAATTCAACCTTGGAACCATTCGTCTCCAAAGTCCCAGCTCTGGGGCGCTCCAGTCCACTCCTGTGCTCACTGCCCACTTAGTGTAACAGAACCGTAGGCCTGGGTTCAGATCCCCGGTCTTGGTGCAACGGCCAGCAGGTGCTGTTAGGGAGGACACCAAGTCCCTAGAGCTCAGCTTCCCTTCTAGTCCCGATTATTAGGAATTATTAGGACGGAGGCGTAGGTAGGATTCACTGGCACGGGCCGGCACAGTGAGTTCCTAGGGAACTAGTAAATAGTGATGAATGACTGACACCAGGAGAAAACACCTCGATCCGGCCAGCCGGGACGGCGCGGGCCAGACGCCCCCGATGGGTCGCGCAGCCTCTCCCAGTAGTCATTAGCTCCCCCCCCCCCCCCCCCCCCC